AAAAAGTTCTCAAGTTTTTGTTTGTTTGTCTTTTTTTTAGAAACTTTGCATCGTTGGAGCAGTGATATGCCATAAAAGAGCAAATGAGGACGCTTGTGCACATCTAGCGTGCATCAAGAAAACGGGAAAATGCCTGAAGGAAGCGGGTGTAAACGTTTGCCACATGCCTCCAGCTATAGTAAGTGTTGATAAAACGTTTGCGAATAGACCTAACTGTATGCAAGACGTTTCAAGAAATCTCAGGCAGGAGGGCGGGTTGGTTGTTACAGTGACAGCCAAAGCTCTGTGGGATGAGCGAACACTCAGTCTCGTGAACTGTCTACTCGCAGCCACCGTAATTAAACAAGCGACTTTTTTAAATTCTAAGCTTACTGTTTCCCGTGGTTGCAGTAGTCTAGCATTTTGGTATTTCTGTACTCCAAACTATCTCTACTACATTACAGCTGCGCCCGTAAGACATGGCTTAGCAAAGTCTTAAGCCGGAAAAGGAAAGGATAATTTTTGTGACTCATTACCAAACACGCCATGGGGCTCTCAAAAAAAGTCATATCGAGAAGTTGGGAGTCATCTTCCAGTTTTTTTTTTCTATTCTCTTTGTTTGAAGGTGTCTAAGGCTAGTCAGAAGACTTAGAAGTTCGCAAACCAGTATAGCTTGCAATACCTAAGTTAAATCTCACCCAGTTGACAATTATGCTATCCATTTGTGTTTTGTCCTATTCAAGAAAAAATGTCTACCAGTCATCCCATGCTGCATGCTGGGAAGCAAGACCTGCGAGGAGAAGCTGTGCTGTTTTGTGAGGTTCCATGAATGCACCAAAAGACTTGGCGACGAAAAAGACGGAAAGTGATTCACTGGACAAGACCCCAGGAAATGATTATCTCTCGAAACACGAAATCGGAAAATGAAGGGGAAATATGCCTGTACAAAATGTAGTTTTTATACCGATATCAGTTGTCATAAGTGAAAAAGTGTAACAATAAAAGAGCCTGATTGTGATAAAACTGTGGTCTATAATCCTGGTTTTAGTTTGGTTTTTGCCGATTTCCGTAAGCAAAATATGCCTTTCCATCCACAGTCGAGGATAATTTCAAATGTTCTCGTTTTAGAAGTAGGGTAGGCTGGTGCACTGGCAGATCTGCAATCAACCAAGCACGTTGAAAAAGTCTATGGCCATTTGCAAAGCGTTTACAGCGGCCAGGTGGCCTTAATTTACTTGTCCTTTTTTATAATTATTTGTTCATTTATTTATTTCATAACATTACAAGTGTTAATTAAAGAAAACCACGGTTAATGATATTTGCACATACAGAGGGTCAAAATTTTACCTACCATGACTTTAACTTGACCTTAAAGTTAACATTACAAGTGTTAAAGAAAGTAAGTTTTACTTTGCTTGAAAAGTCACAACTGCGATAATATCTACTCAAAAGGTGAAGGTCAAACCAGCAAAACTAACCAGAAACTAACCAGTTGACTTATATTAATTACAGTCTGCTACTAGCTGCATTAGTAATTACTTCAAGTTAATTGCCTAATCGAGCCTTTTCTTTTCGAGAGAGTTATCAAAGGGATGAGATTCGAGCCACTTCATTTCAATTAAAAAAGTACGCAGCTTTTTGCCAATGTTTGCTTGAAAGGCCAAATGCGATAATATTTACTAAGGAGGCTAGATCAATGAACCTCAGCTCTTATGTTTACTTAGTAATTAACCAACCAACTTATAAGCATACTTTTTTTTTTGCCAAATTTACTGTCGCTTCGAGAGAGTTATCAAACCAAAAGCCAGGAAGACGAGTTTTTAAGCTATTTCTGATTTTATTTTAAAGAAAGCAGGTTTTAACGGTGTTTGCTCATGAGGTCAAAAATGCTATAATATTTACTCAGGAGGGTACGTCATTTAACGTAGTTTATACAGCTCAAGTGGGGTTTAATTATGATGCTTACAAGATATTGGTATGGGAAATATTTAACCTGAGATCAAGCTCTGGTTTCGTTTCACCCATTGACATTAGCAAAAATTGGGCCTGTTATCAGGCGGCATTAAAAGATGCGAGAACAAATTCAGAAATAAAGCACACACATCGCCTGGGGCTATGCCATGCTGTTGACTCATTATGAGAACGATAAAGCTAGGAGCTAGGAGCCCATTAACCTGCAGTGCAGGCGTATTTTGGGTGGGAGAAACCTTGTTCGTGTTCGTAATATTGTTGTAGCCGCCATCTTTGATTTTATGACAGCTCCCTTTGGCTCGCCCGTCTCCTCGTCTCTTCGAGAAGTTTCAACATGGGGCTTTCGCGAGCAAATTGCGCGCTCAAAGAAAACGCCTGCACTGCAGGCTAGGAGCCCATAACCGGTAGGAGAAACTCTATAACTAGGCCCATGTCACGGCGTGTTTACGGAACGGTTTATATATTTTTAGATACATTTTAAAGCACTTTTTCCTGCAATAGAGGAAACTCCGTTCCGTCCATAGGCCCATTCAAAGTATGAAAAAGGAAAACTAAACGTCGTGAAAACGTCAAAAATACCATTTTTCAGGTCTTTAATGGATCTAGTAACCGTGGTTTGTGAGACTTAAATGGTATCCTAAATTCGTGCCAAATGAATATCATTCTTTAAATAAACTGGTCAGTGAAAACGTCAAGGCACGAGTACACAGAACATAAATTCTGACTGAGTTCAGAATTAAACTAAATTACAGTTTGCTGACGAAAGCACCACGTGAAGTTTTTTCAGCTAGCACAACACACAAGCAAGTAGATTAAACACTGAGTAGATCATCATGACCCCAGGGAAAATAAGGTCACAATTTTGACCTACTGTGCAAATATCGCTAACACTTGTTTTCCTTAACGTACAGTACATCCCTCGGAGGTCGTGGAAGAGGTACTCCACCACAGATATGAACTTCCTGTGTAAACATCATTAACCGGCTGCGAAACACATGTATAATCACCGTGGCTTTAATTGAAGGTAATCATCTAGCAAAAGAAAGAGGAAAAACCGTTCGAACTTAAAGAAACTTGTAATAACTGTTTTCAGGAAGAAAACGTAAAGTACCTCTTTATCTCTTAAAAATAAACTGTTTATTAAGTTTGTTCATAACATGATTATAAGCCGAAGAGAAAACATACCATTACTTCCTGAAAACTTTTGGGGGCAGCAGGTATCATTCTCTCATCATCCGAAATAAAATAAATTTATTAAAATGAAATAAAATAAATTTATTAAAATGAAATAAAATATTGGAATATATGTCTAGCTGGATTGTTTGAAAACTCTACTGCTAAATAGACCTGGCCTTTTGCGTCCAACAGATTTTTTTTTTTTGGCCAAAAAGAGTGCAACCATTGCTTTTTTCTCTTCTCGTTCTTTCCTTCTCCTCGCTTTTTCCCTTTCTCCTTTCCTTTTCCTTCGTTTTTGTGATCTTGGAGCTTCTCAGGCTACGAAACCTACCTTCTGACTCCTTTTCACTCAATTGACTGCAAATTTCGTTAGGTTGGTTTTCAAAAATCGGTTACATATACAGGTGATAGGTCTCGACAAAGCTTTATTTATTTCGTTGATAATCGCCTTTCGAACACTCGCTGAGTACCTCGCTTTTTTATTCCAGGTTATTCAATTTTAAGCGCATTGAGTGCCCTGATGCAACCAACATTACTAATTTTATCACCCATGTATCAAAAACCATGGTCAGCAGTTAAAGATAAGTTCAACCGGTAGTTTGATGTATAAGGTTTTGAGTAGAGGTAGGATAAGTAGCTATATTTTCATTTAAAAAAGGGGTTCTTCACTTTAAATTCTTTTTCCTTTCACTAAAGGCAAGAATTTAGCCCCCGGCAAAGATAAAATTACTGGCAAAGGATAGAACATGACAGAAATGAGGCGGAAATTTCATGAGCGACGAGCTCTGAAAACGACAGTTCAGTACATTCTAAAACGCAGGGAAGGAAAATCTTAACTTGGGTAGAGACTACAGCCGATCCTTTTAGCATGTGGCCTTTGCAACAAATTGAAAAGTAAATTTAGTAATTAAAACAAGAGTGCAAAAAGAAAAGACTTCCCTTATAAAATATTACTGTGTTGTAATTTTACTTACAAAGGGGCTTTTGTACCTCTTTCATGGAAGGAGTACAAAAGCTAAGACTTCGATAATAAAACGGTTGTTACGGTTTTAATATTATATACAAAGTGCTTTTCAATACCTTTTTGGGAGGAGTACAAAAGCTAACTAATTTGTTTACTTCGTTCTCAAAGCTGTTAAAACAAAATTTAAGGGTCTTAAGCATTAACCTTACACTGATTTCCACGATTTCCAGACCGTACAGCGCATTGAGTGAAGTGGGAAACGTATGATCGGTCAATGATTGGTCTCAGTCTTGTCCGAGTCTGCGGGTTCAAAAATCCCTTCCCCCGGGAGAAGAGGAACAGTCAAATGTCCCACCCAACGGCCAACAAAAACAATCAAATCCCCCCCCCATGCCCTGCGCCCCCCCCCCCCCCCCGGGTGCATAAACACAATTGCTCTCCGGTACCCCTCCCAAAACTCTGTACCCGAATATAAGGTCCACCTTGCACTTGGATACTAGAATTAGGCACCGATGTACAGGCGTTTTCCCAGGGTTTCGAGGCACCGGGTCAACAATCCACTGATTTGCGTACCCATAACTGGTCATAACTCACTGCTGAGCATATTTTTGGGAAGGATGTCTGTCAGGGCTAATGAAGAAAATGTGCACACGGTTACAGTGAATAACACACGGTGTATAAATGAAGTACCTAGAGTGAATAACACCATGGCTATGTTATGTTTTACATGTAAGAAATAACTTAAAGACGCTTAATATGCACTTTTAAATGCTTTTATTCCCTTAACAATGCCTGTACAAGTTTATAATATGATAATATGTCAACTTAAACGAGCCTGACTGCACATCATCTTGAACGATATCTTCTAATTGTTGCCATAGTGACAGTGTAACATTTTCTTTGCGGTATCTCAGTGTTCAGCGACGGCCTTGAAGCATCTTTTGATGCGAACAAAACAGCACAATTCACCAGCACAAGTAGGGCTGTGCTTCCTGCACATATACAGGAGAAACACGCAGCCTTTCTGCAATGAGATTTTTAAAAGAAAGATATTGAGCGGAGGAAAGATTTAATTTTTACGCACCATCGTTCTGAGTTATGAAAGTTAGTTTTGTCAAACTCCAACCCGTTTTGTTCTCTAAAAAAGTGATTTATCAGCAGTTGTTTAGTTAAAAGGACGAGGATGAAACTCAGTCGAATATTACGCATACAGTTTAAGATATTACGTCCTAAATGTCAGTTGTATTGTACATAGACGTTTCAGTGCGTCGTGAGATATGTCACCTTAACTTTCTCTTGAAAAAAATGCAAATTTAATAACTATTGACAGAGGTATAATAGGTAGAAATAATTCTTTACAGCCTTTTCGTAAGCTTTACTCCTTGATATTACGGTTAAACAATAAAAACAAATACGACGAAAATGGCCTCATGTTTATTTTTGTGTCTTTGCCTACTATGCCGAACGTAATTGATTTTACAAAAACGTCTATTTAGTCAAAGGATGTTGGACTTTTGAATTCAAGATAAGATGCCCGAATATTACTTTAATATTAAATTGATGATTTGAAACATTGAAAAATATCAAGAAGAGAAGGAAGTAGGTCGCCGGAGGGGCTGGGGTGAGGCGCCGGAGAGGCCGGGGTGGGGCGCTGGAGGGATCGGGGTAGGGGACCGGAGGGGCCTGAGTGGGGGACCGGAGGTGCCGGGGTGGGGCGCTGGAAGTGCCCGGGTGTGGGGTTAATTAATAAGAATCACAACAGTCGTAGCAGATAAACTGCGTTATTGTTTTACCTGAAGCGGTGGAAGAGATGGTAGAGGCGTAGGGTGGCTTTTTTTGATGCACTCGAAGAAGTTGTCGATACAAGCCAGTCTTTTGCAAGCGTCATGCCCTGCATTTTTCCAAGATTCCTTTGCTGTTTCAATGCAAGGTTTCTGCCATGAAGAAATATAAATTTAGCAAATGTAACAAATGAATAAGTTAGTAACACAGTCGAGTAATATTCAGTTTATAAAGGCTTGATATGGTCTAAATGAGAGGTATTGCAGTCGCACTCAGATTATACTGAGGTCTGATTCGGTTGAAATGAGAGGTATGAGAAGTAACTCTCAGTCACACTCAGTTTACTGTTCGTTATATTCCACAGTTCCTTTCTCTTTTGTAGGAACCTATAACTGTTTTTAATGGTGATATTGAGTACCAGGGATTGTCAAAAACTGAGTCATTAGATAATGCAATTCATTCTAGAGCTCTGATTGGCTTAACCATCATGGTATATGAGCTATTATACCATGCTCTCAAAATATGGTAATTGCAAGCGTCCGCTCAAAGAAGTCGGGAAGACTTCTCGATATTTTGTGGGTGTTTTCAATAAAAAAATTATTCCACTCGCACTTGTTATTATGAGATGATTATAGCCAACCCGGCGTTACACGCCTCGTTGGCTATCTACCATCTCATATCCAAAGCGCACTCGTGGTATAATTAATTGTTACTTAGAACTCTTTATATTTACCATCCATTCTGGGGATTTTTCGTGATGATCGTTAGCAGGTATAGTGTCCTCAGGTAGTCCGTTGTCTCTTAGTATCTGTGTCATTCTTTCATCGTGACGCTTGTCCAAAAACTGAAACACGGCTTTGTGAAAAGCCATATGTTCAGCACTGACATAAGCCGCACAGGCGGTCAGGAGGAGAACAGCTATGAAAGTCTTCATTGTCCCTTCAAGATGGGTGCAATTAACACTGTACTTTCCAGGCAAAAACAGGTCCTTATGTAGCGAAAACATGACGGCTGGTCATTCTTTGCGGCTGCGCAGTAGTATGTGTGTTATTATTGGTTAAAACAAAAGATTCTAAAGAAATCATTTTTGTTTTCAGCCAGCGTTGTTTAAGTATCGTTAGCTTAAACAAACACTCTAAGTGTGAGCAATGCCCAAGATAATGATATTTACACAGATTTACTGACAATAAAATTCGCAAGAAATTCTTGCAATTTGGAGACTAAATTAATACTAGCTAACTTACGGGGTTTTTTATTTTTTTATTTTTTCATTTCATGTTTTTTTTTAATGTAGGGAACGAGCTTTGTATTTACTGAGTTACACTGCTTGCTTTATCCCCGGGGTATTTTCTTTCCAAAAAATTACTCCCCATTGGTAAAAATGTCAAAGCAGCTGTGCTTGACTATCGTATGCTGAGGTTTATTAACATTACAAGTGTTAATTAAAGAAAACCACGGTTAATGATATTTGCACATACAGAGGGTCAAAATTTTACCTACCATGACTTTAACTTGACCTTAAAGTTAACATTACAAGTGTTAAAGAAAGTAAGTTT